CCTCCGGTCCCTTGCCGTCCCCTCTATCCAGAGGATCGCCAGTCCCTTCATCGCCCGCTCGATCCCAAGAGCCACCAGTCCCTCGCAAGCCTACTATGTCACCTTGTATCGCTACAACCTCAGTACGAAGGTCTTCTAAGCTAGCTCGTATCATTGTCACATCACATTGTAACTCCGCTACTTCTCTGCTAATCTCCTTCATAAATGTAGTTAGAAGTTCGAACATATCATCATTGGAAGACTACAACTACGAGCAGAAGGTGATCTCCTCGATGGAGGTGACATCCAAGATCGAGGTAATCTCCTTGGTAGAGGTGATACTAGACGGCGCTCTTAAAAAAATGAACATTACAAATGAATAACTTAATTAAAAGATCAAAGCGATAATCAATAAATTATATTCAATTAACATACTCTATCTCGTTCCACGACGGACTCGGGCAGCTGATCGTCTGGCGTAGTCGGAGCAAACAATTCGCGAATATAACTCTGACTCTCTTCCTTGATCGAGGTACCAACTCAGTGAGGACTTCTAGCTGACATATTGACATTTCACCGAGTTAATGACCATGTATTGAGATTTTAAAGGACATGCAACATAAATCGCAAATGTATAATACGTATTTTAGGATCGTCAAGGAGAGTTGGTAACTGCCTAGCAAGCCGCTTGTCTTGTGCTCGCAGTGATGCATCCGAGTACAGCATGTCTCCTATCTCCTCGCATACTGACTAGCCAAGATAGGGATAGTCTCATATATCTATATCTGCATCGATTAAAATTATTATACATAGAATTTAATAAAAAAAATAGATAATTCATTGTGTTAAACATATACCTGCAAAGCCAACGACAACCCATAAGCATTGTACTTATGCTCGGGCTTATCCCCTTAGGCATCGAATATCCCCTTCTAAAGACGCGTAAGGTATCTATAAAACATCTTCATCCCCATGGATAGTTGTTGAAGGTATCAATGTCATCAACAACCTCCAAATGGAAAATGCCAATCGATTTCTTATGATGACACTGGAGTATGCTCTCGAGGATAAGCACCAAGCCCAGCTTCAACTTATCTGACATCTAATAATATCCCTTGAATATGTCTCCCAATTGCGCCAAAGTAACTGTCGTCTGTCCATGAAAATACTCATTCAACAACTTTTTGTTCCTCAGAATATGATCCCTCGCTACTTTTTCATTCGTACATTGCAATCCAGTGATGAGGGCAAACTCAAATATGAAAAACGTCACTACCTTGCCCCCCGAGATCAAAATAGAGGGCATCTTTGTCAACTAGCGTAAGCTGTCAACATAGCAATGCACAGAGCGGATGCCAAGAAAACTATACGTCGCGCAAGGATAACAAGGGCCATAAGCATGATCGACGTAATATGTCCGCATGCTCCTCATCCAGCATACCTAATACCAAAACGAAGTTGGGAAAGTTACCTTTTGACATAACTTTACCGAGGATCTGACTGACGGCGTCGTCTAAATGATATTCCATCCTACAAAATTTCAATTGTTAGAATCCTGTGCAAGAGATAATGGATAAGCATAATATTCGAAAATTAAACTGATAAATTACTACTATACGCAATAATCAAACATATAATGGAATAAAGTAGGGCTAGATAAAACTCTCGAATCTAACTCGACGGTCCTTCTCAAGTTAAATACTCGAACAGGTATCTGAATCGAGAACGACTGATACAATTCGATTCTCGGTTCTAGACCAAGAACCGACCGAATAAGAACCGAATCTTCCTAATTTTTTTATATTGAATAAATCAAATTATTTTAATTTTTTCTAAACAAATTAACTAATTAGGTGATTGATTAATACTCCACCCTAGCCTAGCTAGCTTGACCCAACCCAATCAATTTTTAAATCCAATTTTTTGGCCCAATTATTTGTTTCATTTCTAATTTTTTTATTTTTATCCCAAAATAGAGTTTGCATTGAAGAGACAGAGTTCTATGAGAGCATTGAGACAAGTAATAAAATATATGTTTTATTTTTCTTATTAAATCTTATTAGTTGAACAATTTTTATTTTATTTATATTTGTTAATTGTGCTTTTTCAATTTTTTCTGTAGAGTTTCTTCGTATGAAAAGTCAAGCAATTGATGACTAAATCAAATAGCCGGTAAGTATTAGTAATACTTAAAAATAACTTCTAATTCAAGAAATTTATTTTTATGTAGACTTGAAGGCTTGAAGGCCGAAGCAAATGAATTATTGATATGGATCGCCAATATTTTAGTATTAGTATCTATTTTTTGGTATTTGTATATGTTGGTAAATTAATCTTATTGAACTACTTGTTATTTATATGTTTTTGAAATGGACTTCCTTAATTTGTAAAAGCTATGATTGAATATGTTATTAGTTGTATTTATATAATATTGTTGTAAATGTTAAAAAATGTAATTATGGTACGGAAACGAACAAAATCGAAACGGGCCGAACGATTCCATAATTATATTTGGACCTGACAGTTCCACTTACTAAATATCCGAAATTTTCGATTCGGTACGTTTTATAACCAGACCATACCCAGCCTAGAATAAAGGAAATGAACGTAAAAAAAAAATTAATTGTTTTATTAATATTTAATTTAATTATTTATTTTAATATTAAAATAACTATGTTAACTGTTTTTGTATATTATTTGTTGAATATTTAATTCTTCATTTAAACATTGTGTTAATTATTTTAGTTATTCATGTATATTACTTGTTTAGCATTTAATTAATTATCTAATTTATTAATCTTAATTATTTTACTTTTTATTTAAATATTTCAAATAATAATTTTAATTGTTTTTTGTAGATGGTAGATTTTACAAACAAGAAATCATATCAAATAGGCCACCTGCAATCCTGCGGAACTCAAGAAAAATAGAACGAAAGAAAACAATCATAAAAAAGATCTTAAGAGGACACCAGTGTGGTGCCAGTCGAAGACCCTCCGATGGTCAAGTCAGTTTATCTTATCAAAAGTTGAATAAATGCCACATGGAAAGAAAGAAAAAGTAAATTAGAGTATAGTAAATTGAGATACCTGAATGCTTGATCAATTGTGAAATTTATAGGAGTGGGATAATCGTCTAGGCGAGATCAGAGAGGATTCTCTAAGATTTCGTTGTTGGTTGGAGCCAAATCTAATTTGATCTATTTAGTTGAGATATCAAAACTGTTTGTAGATAACTCTTATAAGATCTGGATAAGTCTTAACATGATTTATCTTGAAGATAAATTATTGGAGATTTTGAACTAATACGTGGGTCTTGGAATGTGTATTTGGATCAATCGTTATAATGAGTTGGACTGAGGAGGGTGTAATTGGATCGTCTGTGGACTCTGTTTTATGGTCTGGGCCGCTTGGATTAGTAAATTAATTTTTACCGCTACATTTATGCATATTATTTGTTTAATATTTAATTCTTTATTTAATTAATTAATTTAAATATTATATTAATTACTTTAATTATTTATGTATATTATTTTTTTAATATTTAATTTATTTATCTAATTTTATATTTTAACATTTCATTCATTAATTTAATTTTTATGTATATTATTTATTTTAATTGCTTAATATAATTATTTTTTAATATTTAATTTTTTGTTTATTTTAATAATTTAATAATTATTTTAGTTGTTATGTATGTTTATTTGCTTTGTATTTAATTCTTTATTAAATTAATTTATTTAAATATTTTATTAATTACTTTATTATTTATTTATATTATTTGTCACTATTTAATTATTTATTTTACTTTTTTAATTGTTTACGTGATATTTAATTTCTTTATGAAATTGCTTAAATTTAAATAAGTAATTAAATTAATTAATCAAATATTAATTATTTAAATAAGAAATTAAAATACATAATAAAACAATTAAATTAAGCATTTAAAATAAATAATTTAAATAAGCAAATAAAATAACTATTAAAATAAATAATTACAATAAGTAACTAAACACTAAATACATAATATACATAAAAAATTATATATTTAATATCAAATTTTTAAATAATCAATAATTTTAATACGTAAATAAAATATAATTGTTAACAATTTAAATAAGCAATTACAAAAGTGACAAATATCAAGCAAACAGTTACAATAAATATTGAATAAACAATTCAAATAAGTAAATAAAATGAATAATTAAATATTAGACAAATAATATACATAAGCAATTAGCATAATTAATTAAATATTTAAATAAACAATTAAATTCAATATTTAAACTAAATAAATAAATGACTAAATAAACAATATAAACAAGTAATTAAAAATAAACAATTTAACTAAATAATTAAAATAAATTAAATTAAATACAAAACGGGGAAAAAAAGGTTGACTGGTCCGTCTGGGAAGAATCCTTTGGAATCAATCCAGATGGCCCAAACGGCATTGCTGCCATCTTCTTCTTTGGTGGAGGTGATATCCACGGTAAAAAATGCCAAATTAATGTATTTCCATGCATAATTTGTGTTTTACATCCCATTTTTACAAAGATTTATCCATTTTTACAAAGATTTCTCACACAAATAAACATAAACATGCTTTATTTCGAAAAATTAATAATACATTAAAATTTCAAAGCTCACCTTTTGGGTCGTAAACATTTGGGTCGTCGATTATTTGCCCAGCATCTGGGTGGTCTTTACTTTTTACTCTCTTCTTTTGTGAAAATGTGAGAGTATTAATGATTTTTTCATTACTTTTTAAGGTTTTAAATATTTTTGCTTTAAAAAAAAAAAAGAAAAGAAGGGTCAAAAGCCGTTTTGCAAAGACCGGCCATCTCCCGCTATTTCCTCCCATGGAAACCTAAACATACCTTCCCTCACCGGATCCCATTAAACCCCTGTTTAGTACTCATTAAAGTAGATTTTTTTCTCTTCTATTTTCAATCACACAATTTTCTATGAAATAATATTACACCTAAATCAAATTTTTTTCTTTTTCAATCAATCATTTTTCAAAATGATACTGTTGTACGCATTTTCATTTTAAAAAATGGAGGCCAATGGGGGCTAAAACCTAATTTCATACACTTTTCGATTGGAAAGGCCCTAATTTCAATTGGATTCTTAATGAAATTATAGTTGGGAAGAACAATTGTGGAAGGAAAATGCTATTTCTACCCCGATCATTTACTTGTAGCAAAACCCACCGTGGAATGCCTTAGAATCAGAAAGTAGAAACACGGAGCATATCAGCCGGACATTGGTGGGCCACACCGAAATCACAGCGCACCAGAATTGCTAAATATTCAGACGATAATGAGAAATGAGAAAAAGGTAGTAATCATCTGCACTTCCAGTTTTAAATTTACTCGCCGTTTACAGTATCATCAAAATAAATTTTCCCATTAATGGAAAAAATACTTCTTTCCTACTAAAGGTTTTATGATTATTTTGGTAATTATTTTAAATATGTTTCATTATGTGTAGACTTTGGGTAAGAAGCTTAAAGATTCGGAAATTTGTGTCCCAATTGTGTATGGTAAAATTGCGTTTTGGCTTGGCAAGAAAGCTAGCGAGGAAGTTTTCTTTTGTTTTATTAGTTTTATAGGTTGATAGAATTGTAATTATCTATTAACTGTTTGATGAAATGCTTGTTTGATTTCATTTGATTTTATTTTTTTTGGTTGGATTTTAACTAGGTACCAGTCTCATAAATGGACAGTTTATGTGCGTAGCCCTACAAATGAGGACCTGGAAGTGGCGATAAAGCAAGCTGTTTTCCTACTACTTTCAACGTTTAATAATCCCACGAGGGTTGTTGAAGGTCCTTTTGAATTATCGGAGTCTGGATGGGGTGAATTTGAAATCGTCATTACCCTTCATTTCGACAGGGACATTACTGTAAAGCCATTGCACTTGTGGGCCTGCTCTCTTTGTCATGCTTGTGTGAGGTTATCATTACATCCATACATATATGTATGTATGCATAAGATCCTGTATGCAACATGAGGCCTGAATGATGTGAATGTGATTATTTGCCCCCGATACCAGGCATTATTGGGTCAAAGATTTATGATTTTGCATGAATGAGTCTTTTTTGCTGCTTTTCTTCTAGCTTACAAATTGGTTTGGATTTCCTCAATTATGAATGCAGTCACTATCAAATAGTCTTCTTGATGTTGTGGTATATTCTGTATTAGAAGTTACGATTAAGTGTGTAATTGCTTATAGGTATCACCATTTGAAGTTATACCCTGAGGAGGACTCTGGTCCCATGTCCATGAAGAAGCCTGCTGTCAGGAAATCCTATGACGAAATTGTGTTTTCTGAGCCTTCAGAGGGTTTCCTTGCACGCGTGCAGAATCAACGTGCCGTTATTATGCCTATAGACTACCCAGTGGCTTTGCGTTGCCTCCTTGTATGCTTTCTTTATCTTTTTGGTTATCAAATGATTTTCCTATTCACTATTGTTTGGTATACTATTATTTTATTTACTTGTCTATACTGCCGATGGAGGATATTGACGGTGGGGAGAGGGGTGACACCAAAAATAATCCCCTAATCCAGTGGTTCACCAATTTCTCTGAGGCCTATGAACTATTAAAACTAGCTGCCACACGCCAGCAGGTTAATATGAATAGAAATTTACTCTTCTACTAAAATTATCTACAGTTTATATTTGAGATGAAAGAAGGATTGAAGTTTTACTTATAATGCTTCAATATCCACTAAAATCCTCTCATGACTCATCAGGTTGGGAAAAATAGAAGGGTCTATTCCACTCGTGGTCCCTAATATTTGAACCATTTTGTCACTTCTACCCCCCACCTTTTTCTTTGGCCTTTAGCTCCTCAACCTTCCAATTTGAGGTGCATCTTTTTCCTACTCACGGATTTTGTCCAACCAAAGCATAAACCTGGAATTAAAAGAAAATTTTTCCCTCAATTTTGGATAAGCAAAATAAATGAATATAAGAAGAAAAAAACAAAAGAGGCTATCTTCTTCCTCATGCCCCCACAAGCAGCCCCACCCCAAATCTTTACACAAGTTACTTTTATGGTGATGGCTATGGATACGCACAAGTGGAAGATGAAAGGAGTTACGAAACTACACACCACAAATCAATCTCTTTATTCTTCTAGGAAATGATCTTCAAAATGGTTGTTTAAAAGTTGAACAAATACTGAACACCATTGTGCTATTCAAGTTCTTCACATCTTTGCTTGCGAAGGTGACAATGATAATAGCATCTTTGCACAAATTTCGAAGATCAAATTGGGGATTGTAGTGTGGCGGCTGTTGGGGGATGGGGATGCGGATTTCTTGTTTTTGTTTTTTTCTTCCTTGTTTATATTATATATTTCTCTTGCTTATTTACAGTTAAAGAGATAAATTCGTTTTCATGCTTACTTTTCGGGATGAAAACCAGAGGTGAAATGCACCAAATATGGACTATCAAGGAGCTAAATGGTAAGAGAAAGAAGTTGTGGATAGAAGTGCAAAGTTGCCAAAATTTTGGGTATTGTTTGTGCATTTTACCCAAAGACAAATAGAAAAGACTTATCATTTTCCTCCAGAATTCCATCCAAACAAACCTCCGCTCCTTTGGTATTTGCAGATAGAATGTATTATTACTGTCATCTCCAGTTACCAAAGATGTGGGATTTAAATGGTGCACATTTTTTAAACTGATGACTACCAATTTTGAAGACCGTTTCCTTGAAAATTGAAGAGATTGATTGGTGATGGTGGTATTCTGCAACTTGTTTTATCTTTTTCTTGCTTGAGCCACTACCATAAAATCAACCCTTGAACAGATTTGAGGCTGCGTGGATTGGGGCATGAGGCAGAAGTCGGTCTTTTATTCCATATACTTTTTCTTTTACTTGTTTAGAGTTGTTGGTAAATTTCTCAAAGTCATCTTAACAGTTTTGCTGGATTGAACTGTGAATAGGGGATGAAAGTATCTAAAATGAAAGGTTGATGAGTTAAATGCCAAGAAAACAACCTTGGGAATAGAAATGCAAATGGGGTCAAACTTTGGGGACGGCTCATGCAATTTAAAACAGAAAAATTTGCAGTAAACCATTTGCTGGATTCCCAATGAAGCTCCAAGAGACACTTTATTTTTAAAGAGCATAATATATCATTTGAAGAGCATCTAGAGAGTTAAAATTTTGAAGTACTTCAATAAGCTATATATATTTAGCACTTAATTTTACCACTCTAAAAAAATATATTATTTTTCTCTATCTTTTATTTTAACTAGCTTTTTACTAGATTATTATGTTATTTTCCTACATCGAAAATTTGAACACTTCGAATGCATTTAATTATAGGGAGTGGCTTTTTGGAGAGCCAAACCCACTCATTAAATTAAAATATTAATTTAAAGAGTTATGATTTTAAGGTTTGATTCTTTAAAATGGAGAGCATCTCATGTTTTAAGAGTCTCTTGGAGATACTCTTACATTGTTACTTAAGTTGGATGAACTTAATGCGCTTGATATTCTTTAGATACAAAATACATGTGCTAGAGAAAGTCCAATGAGTTTGATGTATCCTGGGACATTGAAATATATATGCTAATTCCTATCAAAAAAAAAAATGAAATATAGATGCTAGTCCAGGGGCAGCGTTTTTATATCATTCTTGTTCATAGAAAGTGTACTCTGATTTGGAAGTAAGACCCTGTCAGTCTGGCATTGTTTTCCCTGGTACTTAATCAGTTAAATTGATGCAAGTTCTGCATTCAGCCACAACTACTCATCTGCTGTGTGTGAACTGCATCTTTATGGCATTTTTTTTTTTATTTTTTTATTAGATTATAAGTATGGAATAAAAAGTTTCTGTTTGATTTAATAACATTAGATGATTTAGGTTACACATAATTTGTGTTTAGATTTGCTATAGGTGAAAGATGTGCCTGTGCCTGTGCCTGTACCTTTATCTATATTATTATTAAATGAACTTTTAAATCGTGAGATCACTGAGGATGATCTCTGAGGACATTGCATGTAATCTATTGCTGCAAATATACCTAAATGATGAGGAAAACCATTATATTCCACGATATCAGCTTGTATGCAAGACCCAATAGACAATTATTTACTAAAATATTGTTGATAATATTTTTAAGGCACAAGACTTGAAGGTTTCAGATGTTGTTTTTTGCTCTATTAATGCACACATATTAGACATCAAATATTTGCTTATCATGAATTATTTCCACTTCTCTAGTTACAAAAATTGTTCTTTCACAGTTTATATGTATGCTGGTGCCGCAGGTGAAAGCTCATATTGCGAGACTCAGACGGCAGTTGAGTTTGATAGACGGGCAGCAACAACTGAAATCTCCATCTGACACGTAAATTTTCAATGCATCTAATCTAACCCAAAAATTTTATCATTCCAAGAGATTAAGATAACAAGGGTTTCAATTCATGTGTGATTGAACTAATTCCTATGCTTCTTTTTTGTCATTTTTGACATGTGAAACCTTCAATGTATTTCATGAAGGAGGAGAAAAATTGGCAGTCAGATCGATTCTTATATATGAAGATATACTCCTTCAGTGCTTTGTATAATTTGTGGGAACTCTTAAACACTTTCTGACGTACTCTACTCCATATTTATAGGCATTAATATTCTGATTTGAGGTTTTACTAAGGTTCTGAGAATTTAACAGCAAGCACTGCTCCGTCTTCTCAGACACCAACTATTTAGTATGCATTTCTTGATTAAAAAAAAGATGCCACGTTGCAAAATTTTGTGTCCTTATCACTGATTGTATAAATCTCTTATCTGTAGGGTTCTTAAACAGTAAGAAATGAGCAGCTAGTTATAGAGCATGTTTGGATAGGGCTTAAGAAGAGTGGCTAACATAAGTACTTAATAAAAAAACCTATATGTGAGGATGTCATGTGTTCATGAGTTCAATAAGCACATATGTTTGGATTGGTGTGTTTGCTTATAAGCTTTTGACTGTTGCTCAACTCCACTTACATTATGGACAAATCATAGGGACCCAGCTTACGGACTCAATTTGGGCTTGAAAATAAGCCATGCACCTCGCAGTCAGCAACATGTTCGGATAAATTTTGGGGAAAATTTCATAAGTATAACATATTTTAAAATTAAGAAAACAAGTTTCAAACTTATAAAATCAGATTTTTATTAAAATTTATTTATGATTTAATTAATTAATTATTTTATTAATTAAATATATTTATGTTATATATCTATACAATTTCGTCACAAATTAACAATTCAATTAGTCACTTATTATTTTGTGGTTACAAATAAGAAATTTTATGTCACATTATTTTACAATTACAAATTCAAAAATTTTGTAGGGCACAGTTTGTTTTTCGATCACAAATAAAAAAATTTAATTAATCACGGGTTAATTTTTAATCATAATTTATCAAACAATTAGTCACAATTTATCAAATTATTGTTTATAATTTACTTTTCGATCATAAATAAAAAAATTTACAGGTCACATATTATTTCTTGATCATAAATAAAAATTTTTATAGGTCACAAAACCAACTTTTATTGGTTAAAACTTATTTATTCATTGCAAATTATCAAATTAGTTGGTCACGGTTAATTTCATTGGTCACAAATCAAGTCACGATTTGTATATCACAGATTTTCAAATTATTTGATCACAAATCATTTTCAGTTGCAAATTATCAAATATTTAGATCATAATTAATTAGTTGGTCATGAATAACCCAATGATTTGGTCACAGACCTCCACAACAGCCGTCGTCGCCAGAACAACAACCACCTCAAACAAGTCAACACATTGCAAAAAACACCACCACATTGCCAACCACGACCACCACACAACAGACAAAAGCAAAAATCAACCAAAATAATGTCATCACACAATTAGATTTGGACTTCGCAACAACTTCAACGCAATGCCACTTCACCGGATCGCGACCAGATCGCTGCAGCACCAAAACACCTGACATCGCACACGTGACCATCACCATCACCACTACCAAACCACCTGAAAAAACTACACAAAATCTACCTAAAAACCACCTGTGACCACTGTTGGCACCATCACCCAACACTGCTTGAACCATCACCCCCACCACAACTACAATCAACACAACCCAACAACAAAATACAAACTTACCCCCGACCTGACACAAACGCATCGCCATAAAGAAATAAAATGGATTGCAGAAAGCAAGAAATCGAAATCACAAATCTAAAATCGAAATCACAAATCTGAAAGTTTAACTTTTGAATTATTAAGTAGAATAATATCACAAATCACCACCAGCCACCACCCCAGATTCAACACCCACGATTGCACCTCACCGTCAGATGCACCATCAATCACCACTAGCAACAGATTTAACATTGCTAGCCACCACCACAGCACCACCACCAGTAGAGGCACCGCTGTAGATTCGAGCAACAGCAGAGCTCCGCTTGCTAGGCGTAGCTGCGCCGTTGCCGTCAAGGACCAGCAAGGCATCGCTGCTCGCAGTGCCTCACCGTCTACATTAGCGAATGAATGAGGAGGGAGCCTCAGCGATGCATGACTGCCGCTTGCCGCCACTGATGAGTGTAGTTCCTAAACGAATGATGGTGGAGAGGGAGAGAAGAATGGATACTGAGGAGAAGGGGAGAAATAATTTACGGTTTGGGTTGAAAAATCTGATTTGTGAAAATTAAAACCTTCCATTTGATTTTTGAACACAAGTTTTTTAAAGTTGGGTTTTGTGTAATTTCCACTAAACTTTGCTCCCAATTCACCAGAATGGATGAAGATATAAACACTTTAGATTTCTTTTGATAATAAATTATTTTACCATCCAAAGATTGTCTAATGTTAATGCAGCTTCTATTTGGTTTGAATAAAAATCATGCTTTTAATAGATTTTGACAAGAAATATGTAGTTGAAATGTTGATAAAAGTTTTGGATCTTATAAAATGTGGTTGAAAATAAATTTAAAAAAAAAATTGAATTGAATAGGGATGAAATGCACATTTCGAAATAAGGATTAATATCTTTGAGATTTTTCTATTAAATGCTTTTCCAATATTCTTGATGTTTGGATGCTTGGGCATTTTTAGTGAACCTAAAGAGTGAAAATCCACCGTATTAAAGTTCTCTGATGTCTTAAGTCACAATCTATCATAGCCAAGGGAACAAACAAATTTTGAACGTGTTATTTCAAAATATATTGTTATTTTGAATTGGAACTAGAATCTTAATTACTTCAATACCATCAATTTGTGCCCCTACTATTAAATTTCCACAGCAATGCCTTGATCATGCCTTCGCGAAACAAACATTCATGCAGCCAACAAAACTGCATAATGTATGCCCCCAACATCCATCATTCTCAAAGCTTTCTATCCTTGATTCCGCTTGCTTGCCAACTGCTTTGCCACATGTTGGCGGTCCCAAAATCTTGTTTGCGGGAACGCACGCCTTTAGTCTTAGGTAAACTAATAAAGCAATGTTCGGAGCGGACCTGCTTTGAACCACATGTAACAGACCGCTCGTTCGGCTTTTGAGGTCACGAGACACCCCCAGGACAATATTTCCCCAGGCACAATATAAGAACATAGAAAGCTTGTCATCATACCTGAATAACATATATCGTTAGTGCACTTTCGAAAAATATAGTAATAAACTCACGATAAGCAGTCTTGCCATGCCTTATGGGTTGGGGAGTTCTCTAGGTCTGTGACTAATGGCTTAGATAGAGACGAAAGATGTCTCATCAACGGAAGACCAAGCTCAAGGGCAGAGAAAGTTTGATCCTTTGTTGTTCTCAAAATCACAATTGCTTTCAGACTTTGTCCAAGTAGAACTTCCCTCCTCTATACAAGCCAAGCCTCCGCCAAAATGGTATTATTAGAATGCTCTATGTGATTAACATACGCACAGAGCACGCCATTAGACTTTTGACTACTATGATCTTAAGCCTGTGACTTCATATTTATTGAGGTGTTCAGGTGTTCGTGTGATACCCGCAAGCGTACGGGATCGTTGACAAGTAATAATTAGTGAGTTAAGAGTTATCGTCGCATAGAGAATAAATTTAATTCAAGTTTACTAATTTCGTATGGAATTCTGTTTATGAAAACAAAATAAATATTTTGATTTGATTTAAACTAAACTAATCTAAGAAAGCAATAAAAATTGGGGTTTATCAAATTATGAAGGATTGTATTGAATTTTGACTCTGCCTATTGCTATTTATTTCAATTCTTGATTCGTAATCTAATTTGTTTCACGAGTTCTTGACAATCGATAACACTAATATGTTAAATGTTCTTTTCCAAGATACACCAACCTATGATTAACACGACCCGATCCTATTTCTAGTCCGAATTCATATTAAAATCATGCATTTAGTTTAAGTTATCAATATAATTGCATGTATGATAGATATTATTCCTAATCCTAACTATACATGTTAATTTTGCCGCGTTCTAGACTCGTTGTGAGTATTCCTACACTGCAACAAGCAACTAACTATTCAATTGATGGCCAAACAATTCAATAGTGCAATGGAAATGCAAAATTAATCAAGTAACACATGAATTAAACTAAATACTTGTCTTGAATTGAAATAAATAAATAATAGGGTTCATCTCATCCAATACAATGAAAAACTAGTATAGCATATTAATATATAAATTACAAGAAGAATAATAGAAAAATATCACCCAAATCATGAAAGAATACAAAAGATGTTGATCTTCACATCCAAAGTTGAATTCTTCAAAACTTGATGTAATTGAACTTCGATTCCTTGCTATGGCTTGATCTTCTCTCTCAAAATATAGCAATTAGCCCCTTATTCTTGATGGATTTGATGAAACTATTGTGTATGAAGAGGCAAGAGAGAGACCCTTTCATTGCTGCCCATATCTTGTATTTATCTGATGAAATTAGGTCAAAATTCACGTCCAAATTGTCTTCCAAAAGAGTTTGAATCAAATAAGGAAAGCTGCCTTCACGCGCACATAATTTTGTCTCTGCACAACTTTCAGTATTTTGATCATAACTTTCTCTTTCGGTGATTCAAAGTGCATTGGAAAGCTAATTAAAAGATCTACAATTCTTCTAGAAATACAATTTTTCCAATTCAGATGTTCTCCATCCGAAAAATGGATCTCAAGTTGATCAAAAATGTTGAAAATATCCTATATGATTGGAAGTCAATTTACGATAATATTCTAATCATATCCCTTTCCTTGTTGACTCCAATTTGCATTCAATTGACTCCTATCAATTTTCAAGGTGTCTTTTGTGGTCCAAATCAACCATTAAATATTTACACTTTGGTCCCCATACTTCGAATTTGCTTCATTTAGCCATTTTCTATTTTTTTTCAGTTCTTCTTTGAAACATGGACTTTTCCTAATAAAAGCAATAAATAACAAATTAGGTACTAATCCGTTCAAAGAATAACAAAATATCATCATTTAAGATCCTAAATAAGTGTAGAAACTACACTTATCAAACCCCCCAACTTTAATCTTTGTTTGTCCTCAAACAAAAATATAACCTAAATAATAACAAATATACAAGTATGCAAAAATATTTGGCTGGACAATCTAGCTTTTTACCACAGAATTCGAGATCATCGTATTAGATCTATAAACTGCTTCAAAG